GCTCTATAGCATAATATTTTTGATCTAATGCAAATCCATTCTTAAAGCTAAAAGTGGTATTAAAGAGTATATTTATGATGTATTAATTATTTCTAAACTTAAATTAAAGCACGCAAGGGTGTAGCTTGATGACTGCCCTAAACTGCCAGTCATGAACCCTTCAAAACCTGCTTTTTGATTGCTAATTAGTACAAAACCTCTTTTGTTAGGTAAAGACGATTGTTTCATTGTTTGGAAGAGCATTTCTTGTTTGTCCATTATTTTCTAAACCAATTACAAGATTCACATCAAACAGTTCATGATGACCCTAAATAAGAGTCCTATTATGGTGTAAGGAAAGCCAGCCCACTTTTCATTAAATAAATCACTACCTTCCTGTCAGCAGAGACCAAGAACAAGCACATTAGAGAGAATTCTAGCAAGAAGAAGGTCAATCACTAATAAGCATACTAGCGATGGTAGTAACCTTCAGAAACGACCAAACTCACCACAGACTAACTTATCGATATCTACTAGGGTAGGTTATGTGCACACTTACTGCAGTGTCTTACATATTTGGATTACCTGTGTATGAGAATTTAGAATGTGTTTAAAAAATACCTAAAACCACCTTACCTTGCATAATACGCTTGTAAGTGAAACGCTGTCATTATCTGGTTGATAAAAAGTTTGACAGAAGAAATCATGTGAATGACAGCTGTCATTTCTTTATTTGTTTGAAAATAGTTATTACTCCAGTTGAAAAAAATAAAATTGTCGGAAGAAATCTTTGTGAATGACACACTGCAGATAAGTTCTTCACTACTCAAGTTTGATTATTATACCTTTGATGTTTACCTGTGTATAACTCAACTTCCATTCATTATCCTTGTCTATTGGAGGAACTTGGTCTTCAATGGTCTTATGTTTGTTATGTCCAAGTGCATTATAGTAATGATGAAAGTATCAAAATAGTTGATGTCTATAAAAGAAGAAGTTTTTTGTTGTTGCAAAATTAACGTTCTCAGTCAGTGTTGTGCAAGAGCACAATTGAGATGCCTGCACACTCTATATGATAATAGAACTGTCTAGGAAATAAGTTATGCTTGTTCATCACTGAAACACCAAAACTACGAACGAAAAAGAGCAACATGAACCAGTTAATACTTTCAGAACTTTCAGAAGTTTTTTGTTGTTTCAAAATTAATGTTGTCAGTCAATGTTGTGCAAGAGCATAAGTGAGATTCCTGCACACTCTATATGATAATAGAACTGTCTAGGAAATAAGTTATGCTTGTTCATCACTGAAACACCAAAACTACGAACGAAAAAGAGCAACATGAACCAGTTAATACTTTCAGAACTTTCAGAAGTTTTTTGTTGTTTCAAAATTAATGTTGTCAGTCAATGTTGTGCAAGAGCATAAGTGAGATTCCTGCACACTCTATATGATAATAGAACTGTCTAGGAAATAAGTTATGCTTGTTCATCACTGAAACACCAAAACTACAAACGAAAAACAGCAACATGACCCAGTTAATACTTCATCATTCCCATGCTACATCTTGCCATTGTCATTAGGGAAAACACCATTGATCATTGTCGCTAAAACGTTTTTTGGAACAAAGAATAATAAAATAAATTTAATTGAACAACATGTGTTTTATAACACAACCAATATTATCTATAAAGTATCATTCATAATGCAAACTAAACATCTAACATCTTAAAACAATGAGTATTACTGAAATCCTAATAATTATTACTAATAAAATAACAATCAATTATTCTTATTTAATGATTTTTATAACTTTTGAGTAAATTTGTCCACTGTAACAAAATGTAGTGCCCTATTTCATTATGACGTCACAGTWTGTTTACATTCTCATAAACAGTAGAAACTTGAACCCATAAATTTCTCAAAAAGTAGAAYTTTGAAATTCAAAGATTGCTCATGTACATTTTATTTGCGATGACGTGCAGTCACTCTCACTGATTCCATTTGGCGACCATAATCATCAGCGTCAAAACTACAGAATGCTTTGATGTGTTGTCATACTGAACTAGAGCAATTGAATAATTATGTTCCATTGGTTTGTCACGCAACTGTCACATTTACATGTCACACAACGCCTTATTCTACAATGACATTGTACTACGTATTGTAGAAAGATGACAAGGTTATAACATACCCACAGCCACTATTTGTTACTGGAAACCATTGGCTGAATGACATTTATCCAAAGACTTCTCCAGAAATTAGTGTAAGAATTTTAAATATTAACTGTCATAATTACTAAAAAATCCATAGGCTACCCAACTATTGCTTGAGAGAAAGAAAAGAATGAATATGCACACTTTTATGGTAGTACTAGTATTGGCGCACGCTCTTAGTGAAATGCGGGTTACCTGTGGTAGACTAGTTTGTATCCCGCGAGGCAAGGGATCAATGACGTAATACCACAGGTAACCCACAGCGCGCGCCGATTCGATAACAATATAAGCGTGCACATTCATTCTTTTCTTTCTCTCAAGCAATAGTTGGGTAGCCTATGAAAAAACCTAAAAATTCCAAATTGTGACATGATAATTTTTTTAAACTTGAGTTTAGCTTACATTTTCTCTAGATATAAGTGATTTCCACCRTTAAAATGTGAACAAATTAATTTAATATGAAGAAGTAAATTAAAATAGAATATGAAATTATTTTAATTTTTGAAAGATAATAAATTAAACTTAGTACAAAACAATCATTGTCATCATCATAATTTAACAGAATAATTTTACAATTTTTTTTTTGAAAAATTCAAAGGATTTTTTGGTGAATGTTTAAAATGCACTAATAATGATTAAATAGACTTAATAATTTAATGATCTAACTATAATTATTATTATTTGTATATTTTCAAATTTACAGATGCCTCAAAAAACAACCTTCACCCCTCCATATGGTACATCCACAAACCTAAGACTGACAAGCAAAACCAAAGTCCCWGAAGTTATCAAGCTTCTCTTTGCAAAGTTTCAGGTATTTTCTAGTGATTGAGATACTGTTTTTATCCAAGAACATATAATTATAGACCACTTGCACCTAAGGCTGCATTCATTATGTATACATACCACAGAGGGGGCAGAGGAAATTTTGCTAAAAGGCACAAAATTTTTGGATCCCCCCAAAAATCTCAGCAGTAATTTTCATATCCCCCCTAAATTCGTGGTATCTCCTTATATTGGAGGTAAAAAAAAATGCTTTCATATGTAATTATATGATAAACAGAATATTACATGGTCGCTTGGTTATATACAGATTTCATCTTCTTGTGTTATCTTCTTTTCTCTGCAACAATGCAATTTTAATCTTGGAGTTGTAGTTTGACATTTTGAATGAAATTTCYTGTAATTCATAAATCAATCCTCCTTTTGCAGATAACAAATAATCCAAAGAAATTCAAACTGTACGCTGTATATGATAACGGATGTAAGTCATAGATTATAGTAATCTAAATAATGCATTTGCTAGATCTGTGAAATAGTGTGTGTGAAAGTTTATTACAACCTACCATTGATGTGCAAATTGATTTTAAAACTATTAAACTAATTAGAGTGAAGTCATCATACCTGTAAAACAAAACCTCAGTCTCTATTAAAGTGTAATATTCAAATAAACTCAAAAGAAAACTCCCCAGGGGGGGGGGAGCTCCCTAATATCAAAGGGCGGGGGTCCTCGGCAGAAATTATGAAAATGACCCCTAAGAGGGACCTGTATTTGGAGATGATGGGCGTGGCAGTGCTGAAATTTCATCCCTAAAAGGGACCAATAATCTCACAGGTTTATTGACTCAACTGTAAAAACACTGAACTAATTAGCTAATAATTTGTTTGATTGATACAGCTACAAGATCACTTGAAGATGATGAAAGTCCTCTACATTGTCGTCTTATGCTGGGGCCTAGTGAGGTGAGAGTCTCCTTGTCTTCCCATTTATCCATTCAGTCTGAAAAGGAACAGAAGTCCATACAACCTTCTAAGTTTTCCAAGAATTGTCGATTATAATTAGATTCTGGGAGCAAGACCATTTAAGCTTAAAGAGACAGAGGGTAGATAACCAGAATTTAGAAGTTTGATGTGAAAACCAATTGCAAATACAACTATTTAGTTCAATTCAAATATAGTCTCTTTCAACAGCCGCGACTTCTGGTCTCGTCAAATTTACGAGACCGGAAGTCGCGGCTGTTGAAAGAGACTAATTCAAATATGCATACATTTGGAAAGAGATGAAGGAGTTTCTTGTCATCAAGGATAGGCTTTTTCACGGAGTCCCCAGGGACATAAATTTGAGCATTTCATTTGACCATCCATTTTTTTTTTCATTTATTCATTCAATTTGTATTATTCATTCAATTCAGTGCTATAATTGTTTATTTTCTTTGACAGTATGCAGCAAAGATTTATATCATGGAAGCAGATGACTCCAACAACATATCAGCAGAGGTGACTCATKACTATCTTTGAAGACTAACAGCACTTTGAACTTAGTTACAACAGTGARCAAAAATCAATGAGACTTTAGCCAGAAAACATGTAAAACAATGTTGTGGACATTATTGCTACAAGATGTATATTAACCCCGATCCCTAGTCAATGTTGACATTTGATGGGATGCATATATGACCACGTTTCCAGGCAACATTGAAAAGGAGGGCTGAGCTTGGCGATACAGATGTAATTAGGAGGTGTTAGATAGATACTTGATAGATGTGACTAACTTTCCAGATTTCGCAGAATGATCTGAATTACATCTGGAATACATAGTTAGTGAGGGACTTATACAGACTGCTATTGAAGGCGCTTAAGAAGCTGTGCAGTTTACAAACATGAGTACGTTAGATTTGTTAGTGCATTAGTATGTTAGTGCCCTCAAGGTTATGCGGCCGAAGTACAGACACTGAAGATGGTCGTACCTGCGTCCTCAGTGGTTCTTTAACGTCCCCATTGTGCTGATGAGAGTTGGGACAGAATTAGAACTGTCCTACATGTAGGATTGGACCAAGACCACACTAATGGGATTACTGTGCCATTCCCTGAGTCAATAAGTGTGTGGCTTTTATTACGTCCCTCCAACCAAATGTGAATGACCTGTCAATCATACTGTTTTGTAATTTTTTTCAGGTTGCCCAGTATATACACTTTGCCAACCCTGTTCTATTAGGATTCTTACAAAAATTTCAAGAAGAAGAAGACAAAGAAGCTCTTAGAATAAAAAATTGGTAAGAAGCACATAAAGGAATTTCCAGTTTCTAGATTGATTGATCGATTGATTGATTGATTGATTGATTGATTGATTGGTTGATTGATTGATTGATTGATTGATTTTATGAATTCAATTATTCCATTCAATCACAGATTCGTTTATTTATTATATGCTTTTTTCATTTATTTATTTATTCATGTGTTCATTTTTTATTCCCTCATTTATTTTTGTGTTCATTTCTTTATTCATTCATTTATTTACTCATATATTTATTCATTTACCTTTTTTTCATGCTTATTTATTCAGTCATTTGTTTTTATAATGTAATTTTTCTTGTTTTTTTTTTCAGGTATTCACTGTATAAGAAAGAATTAGAAAGATTAATAGCAGAAGTATCCACTGCAGTGTAAATATGTACATAACAATATACAGCTGTCAATAAGAAATTTAGGTAATTATTGGTGGGAGGTGGGAGGGGGGTTAGATAGAGTTGTCACAGAATCAAGTGTGACATTGTCACACAATCGCTTGTAATGCTTGGTGATTTCAAACGATTGGCATTACATTGTAACACAATCCCTGGTGGCATCACAAATCTTCATTGTCACTTTATATTCTTTCATTATTCTATTCAACTTGCCACTATATTTKTGATGTCACGCAACACTAAAACTCTGTCATAAATCTAATGACATTCCGTTRTATAGGTCACGGTCCGTGACATTTGAAAGTCATTTGAATRTATGGTGTTACACTACTTTGAATTGATTGTCACAGAATCGTGACGTGACGCATCCTACATATGATTAATTTAAGGGCAACATAAGCCCAACRCRGAGCAAGTTATTCATTTTTATAAATGTAAATTTTTTCAAAGACTTTGAAATTTCTTTATTTATTTGCAAAAGTTAAAACGATATTTCCTTTTTTTATTCATTGTAAAAACATTATTTACTTCTTGAAAATATTCTGGTAATTCTTGTGAAATTAAGTTTGTAAAGGTTACTATGGTAATGTCAGTAGGAAATTTACCCCAGATTTACAACCTCGAGAACTTTTTGCCAATATGGCCGCCATCTTGAATCTGTCGTCTTGAAGGAGAAAGTAGGGTTTTTTTTCTAAACAATTTGTGCCTTTGCATCATGACATAATCTCAAAATGGCGGTCGCATCGGCAAAAACTATCAAATAGGGAATGATTTTGTGGATTCTCCGGAACTTTATCATTAAAACAAAAAGAAATTTACTGAGGTACATGGTAAAATTGAAAACATGTCAAAATGTCTTTAACCATTCATTAAAAGAATACTAATAACATAAGTTTGGTTTGAATACACCAGGTTGTTAAGTTGATGGCAGCCAGGATAGATACCGTATTTACTCGAATAGACGCCTCCACCGAATAGACGCCGCCCTCAAATAGACGCTGCACTTAAAGCTCAAAATATTAATAGACGCCGCCCCCGAATAGACGCCGCATCTGGGTGCGGCGTGAAGTTGAGGAAATTATGATACCAGCAATGTGAATTTATTTTCTTTTAAAGCATTTTTTATTTCGAAGTGACTGTACTTCTTTGCTCTCAGCAGCTGTTAGATTCCGACCACCAGGAGGACATTGATGTTGAAATAGAAGTTTCACTCTGGTTAAAATCATAAATTGAAT